CCTCACATGTGCTATTTCCTTCTCTAGAAGCTCTTCCTGTTACATCTGCTCTATTGACATCCAGCTCCTTCTCTTCCTTCAGAGGCTCCGCATTGATCTTGCCCACCCCTTCCCTGGGCTACTGGGTCTCAGCCTCTCCTTGTTTCTGTCATTGCTTGTCTTACACTTTGTGGTTGGCTTAGTCCCCACCCCAGCCCACAGGCTGTGAGCCCATAAGGGCAGCTGTTGCCTTCCCCACTGCAATCCCAGCACCTAGTTCTCTGCCTGATGTGTGGTAGATGCTCACTAGATATTTACCAGATGAATGAATGCATTTAATTCTCATCGGAATCCACCAGAATGTACATGCTCAAATGAATGTTTATCATAATGGCTCATAACTCTACAGTCAGAAGAGACATTCCCAGGGTGGATGCTCATTTCTTTTCTCTGTCCCCTCCTCCTCTGTGGTCCCATTGTTGCTTCAGGCTCAGATCACAAATCCTGGGGAGGAAAGCTCTGGAGACCAGTGCTAGAAGATTAAAAACATATAATGATAAGGTGGCTCATGCCTGTAATCCCAGCACTTTGGGAAGACAAGGTGGGTGGATCACAAGGGTAGGAGTTCAAAACCAGCCTGGCCAACATGGTGAAACTCTGTCTCTACTAAAAACTATAAAAATTAGCTGGGCGCGGTGGCAGGCCCTTGTAATCCCAGCTGCTTGGGAGGCTGAGGCAGAAGAATCGCTTGAACCCAGGTGGCAGAGGTTGCAGTGAGCTGAGATTGTGTCAGTATACTCCAGCCTGGGCAACAGAGTGAGATTCCATCTCAAAAAAAAAAAAAAAAAAAAAAAAAAAAGGAATGAAATCAGGGATGGATGGAGCTCAGACGGCTGGGATCCAAGGAGGCAGAGCTGGAGGAAGCACTTAAGGCAGCAGACAGAGGCCTGAGATGCCAGGAGGCAACCCAGAACCCAGTGCCCGTGTGCACAGTGTGGGTATCTAGCTATGCACAACCACTGAGCATTGCTCCAGGTTAAACCATCAGAAGGAGGGGTTGCCTGTGTGTGTACACTATGGATAATGGGCCTCACGACATCCAGCACATTAGCTAGATAGCCTTTGAGATGCATAAAGGATGTGCCTGCACCATATTAATTTCACTCTTGCTAGAAATGCCTGGAAAATAATAGGCATTCAATAAGTCATTGTGGAATAAATAAATGAAGATTGAATTTTGAGGTCCTTGGTTTTTTTATTGAGGTCAATATGAGAATAAAGCATGTCTCTTCCGCTGCTATAAGGCTGGCCTTGATGATGGCGTCCATTGATGGAGAGGAAAGAGCACTTCAGATTTTAATCCCGACTCTACCACTTTACTAGCTGTGTGACCTTAGGCCAGTTACTTACCCTGTCAGTGTATCAGTTTTCTAACCGACACAATGTGGGCTAATTCAGAATGATTGAAAGACTTAGGTGAAATTGCACATGTCAAATGCCTAACATGGCCTCCAAGCACATTTGGACCCTCAACCCCTTGGCTTGTTAGAAAAGAGACCTAAGATGTGTTTGTCACAGAGCCACAGCCTGGGGCCTGTTGCAGGGCAAAGCTGAGGCTAATGGATGTGAGTATGGAGGGGTATTACGGTTTGCTCTAGCAAGTTCTGATATATCCCATTACTTCCTGGCATGAGATTATCAGGGATGGCGAGCTAAGGCTATGTAAACCCAATATGTGACAACAGAGACCGGAACGGCCCCTGTACTGGCAGGGGGTGCTCTTTGCTGAATCTGGCCAAGTAGAGAAAGTAAGTTTTGTAATACTTCTCTGTTGAAGTCACCTGGGAGGCAAACCATTTTTCAATCTGAAGTTTTGGAAGTATGCTTTATATGTATTGGTGACTCACAAGTTTGGCTGTAGAAGAGGAAGCTCTCCTTAGATGTTGCTAAGGAGTCCCTGTGGCTTTCACATTCAGCCTCTAATGGGTGATTCATCACACTTCAGCTTTCCACTGTGTTTTTCTAGCGCAACCCCACAACAGTCATCCAAATCTATTGTCTTTATAATGTCTCCTTTCCCTTACTTCTCAATGCCTGCCACGTGGTACCCTCCAGCAAGTCCCCCTCCATCAGTAAGCCATTCAAGTATCATCAAGGAAAGTTTTAACAGTTGTGCAGCCTAGCATGCCAGAGGCTGTCCATGAGGGACCACCAGTGATGGGTCCTTCTTGTCATGGGTCAATGGCTCAGCTCTCAAACTCCGTTTTAGAATCTGTTTTCTTGGACCACTCCTGGTAGGCTCTCTGGGATGCAGACTGTGTGTGAGAGAGGTCTGCACATAGGAATTTTATGGAGCAGTGTTCTCAGGATCAACATCTGTAGGGAAATGCTCAGGTCTGGGCAGAGAGAGAGGTTGAGCTGGGAGGCAGTTCAATGAAGGCTTCAGTCACTGCTCAAGGGAGTTCTGGAGCTGGGATGGCCTTTCCAAGTGGTTTGAAATGGAGAAATGGAGCTCAGGGATGAGTCTCTTTTTTTTTTTTTGGCAGTCTCACTATGTTGCCCAGGCTGAAGAGCAGTGGCAGGATCTTGGCTTATTGCAACCTCCATCTCCTGGGTTCAAGTGATTCTCCTGCCTCAGCCTTCTGAATAGCTGGGATTACAGGTGCCCACTACCACACCCAGCTAATTATTGTGTTTTTAGTACAGACAAGGTTTCACCATGTTGGCCAGGCTAGTCTTGAACTCCTGACTTGAAGCAATCTGTCCTTGACCCCGGCCTCCCCAAATGCTGGGATTACAGGTGTGAGCCACCACACCCACCTCAGGGCTGGGTCTTTAAACCTCCTTCCTGACCCACCATGGGATGTGCTTGTCTCCCGGGAAAGGGAACATGACCTTGGGTGAGACAGTCCTCTTTGGCTGGGAAGCAGCAGGCCTTTAAGGAAGGACTCAGCACACAGCTGTTAGAACGCTTCAGTCCTGCAGTGGGGTTTGGGTGGGGGGTGGGGAGGACCTAGGCAGTGCACTGTGTCAGGCATTCAACTCACTGTGCCAGTCACACACTAGAACCCAGGATTAGGACACACAGTTTATTTTTAAAACAAGAAAAACTTAAAAAAAAATGAAATGTGGAAAATAACACCAAGCTGGAAAAATCTTTTATTAGGGGTTTTGACACGGATTTCGAGTGAATAGAATGGATTTATTAATAAGAAGGTATATAACTAGAAGCTATATTTTCATTGTATTTTTAACACTCATTAATTAGCATATGTTTGCAGCAGGCCTGATGTACTTGAGATACTTAGGATTCCTTTGTCCTTCTGAGCTTGTCTGGAAGGTATGGGCATCATTGGCTTCTTAGTTTTCTTATCAGTAGAGAAGCAAAGAATCTATATCCATCTGATGGAGGCATTTGGCTACAGAATGAATGGCTCTAATCTTGCTGGTAAGAATGAATTGTTTACTATCTTCCTAGAGGTGCATAAAACTCTCACTCAGAAAGACACAAATTAGAATATCTTCATAAGTAATTTTCTTCAAGGGACTTGGAAAGCTAGAAAAAAATTAAGTTCTAGGTACAAGAACTCTTTTCTCATGCAAAGGATTGAACCGAATGTGAAGGACGATATAGAATTTACAATGCCATTATGGCAGAATCAACATGAATTGCAAAACCAAATTCTGAGACAATGTAACCACTAAAAAAAAAAAAAAAAAAAAAAAAAAAAAAAAATTGTAGCCAAAAAGTGTACAGAAGCAGGAAGTCTGAATGCCTCTTGAGCATTCAATATTCATAGTGCTACTGCTACAAAATTTAAGTTTTGACTAAAGAGAGATGAGCACCTCAAAACACACCATTGTGAGCTTGGTTCATTAAAGGAAACTACAAGCACAAAACTGTAGGTTTTTTTTCTATTTTGTAAACAACAAAAAGAACTGAACATCTAATTTTTGAAATTCTTCTGGCTTTTCTTTTTGACCTTTGGTATTTGTATGTATTGACAATCTATAAACCATTGCACAAAAACACCTTGAAGTGTCAGGCTTTAAAAATGAGTCTTCTTTTCTCTTTCTCCTGTGCAGCTTGGATTATCTTGGCCTTGTCAAAACACATTCTCTAGTTAGAGGGTGGAAATATTTCCCTCCTGGCTCCAAAGTATTGATTTTCTTCAACACTCAGCTCTGTCAGTCAGCCAGAAGGGGTGAAAGGTGAAAGTTCACCCAGCACTGCTTGGCTTTACCTTCCTATTAATGTCACGGCCTTTCCACATTTGATCAGTTTATGTGATCACTGATCATATAGAACTGTTATTGGCCCTATTTTCCCTATACGAATACATTTAAGTCATGAGATGTTAAAACATTTCCCGGGGCCCACAGTGGGCATTTGATAGGGCCAAAGATGCCTCAGACCACTCCTGTAATGTTCACCAAATTCTTGTAGAATATTATACTATTACATGATCATTGACTCAATTCAAGCTTTTCTGTGCTCTTATCTGAAATAATTAAGAGAAAAGAAGTACATAGGCTACATACACATAACACTCTATGAGCAATAAGGACCTATTTCATTAGTCTTGCTTTTTCTGAAAACCAATTATAGCCTTTACCTCAGGGATTAAAATTCAACTCCGAACTGAGTATGAAATGCAATGAATTTAATGATCTCAGCCCAGCTCCCGAGAGGCAGCCAACCCATGCCATCCAATCTGACAAGATACGATTTGGTGCCATTAACAGTCTATTTGGGAGCATGTGGGGTAGAGATAAAGCAACAGGCATGCAATGCCCTTGCCCAAACCACAGAGGGTGCCATTGAGTTTCTGGAGGGAGAGTTTCTCTCTGGTTGTCTCACTTCTGCTCTACTGTCCTCTGGGAATAAGTCACCTTTCCCAAGCCAGCTCTCCAGGAAAATGAATGATCAGAGGCAGCAGGGCGAGAGGAGCATACGGGTTTCAACTGAGAATGTTTAAGATGAGTGAACACCGGAAAAAGTAATAATGTGAGAAAAACAGTTTTCAATACAATTGTTTTATTTAACACACATATGTACACAGGAACATTCAGCGCACATATCATCTATTAAGTGGAATCATTAAGAAATGTCTACTGAGGCAGATATTTTAATTCACTCGCTGTACACAGGGAGTTCAATCATTACATTTTCATACAGGTGTCACGTCATGTCATCTTTTGCTTGTAAATTACCAATGAAACCACATATGTCTCTACATATACAAGGACAGGTCCAAATACAGTGCCAATGAAATCAATAAAACATTAAAGGTGTATGCTGGGATGACAATGCAGAGTTTACCTCAGTGCTGAGAAATCTAAGCTGGGATGAAGTTTGGGACTGTGGCTATTAAAATAGCCAAGAAGAGATTTATATTACAAGAATGCGGGTATTAGTTTAGCAGTTAGAGATGACCTAATCATCAAACAGCATCCACCCCAGGGTTTTGCAGCCATAGCTTTCCACTGGCCTTGGCTGTCCGAGCAGACACAATACGTGAGAGGCTGGCCCAACCCCTGGCCCACGGCTGTTGTCCCTCTGGGGCTCCTGACTTTGTCTTCAACCTTCGTGGCTGTGGGAGCCATCTGTGTGTTGCGGCGTGCTGCCTACCGCTCCCACACCTCTTTACTGATGCATAGAATATTTTGTCAAACAAACACAACGCTAGGGTATACATTTACCTCATCATTCCAAATAGAGATGTAGTCTACGATAAATTAATTTTCATTTAAGTTCATAAAGTAAACATATGTTGGGTCTAGAGAAGACTCTGGGCCCCCTGGAAGACAGAGAGAGCCTCTTACATTTCTCTATCTGTACCGGACACGACAGCACGTTCACCAAAGTCTACGCTGTACAGGTCTTTGTTTCTCCCTTGGAAACTAGATATATAATCTTTATAAATACAATGTACATGCATGTGCATAAACTCACGTTTGAAAGAACACTCAACTCTAAAACCAAGGAAGAGTATAGATTTGCCATCAATGGAAATAACATCATATCAATATGAAGGAGATGTTCTAGTGGTCTTAATTTCTTAATTTGTTCTTTAAAAATCTGTTTTGGTGAAATAACCAATGTTTGTTCCTAGACCTTCATCCTCCTTTTTTGTATATTAGATAAACTCTGACAACCTAAACTTTTAAGACTGAATCCTCCTATTATCATTTTGGTTCCTTTGTAAACTTCACGTATTTTCTCTCAATTTAACAAATAATTTTGTATTTTTGCATAACAAACGATTTTGCCCAGCTAACCACCAAATCAACAATTAGCCAACAAAAAAACCCCCCACACTATATACAGATCAAGGTTTGTTAGGAGCAATTCATAGAAAATATTCTATAAATTTTTTTCATTATGAGCTACAACCAGCACAATTAGACATAAGAAGAAAGTGATCTAGTTAAAGCTTACTTAGAAGTAAAATGAACACGCTCATTGCAATGTTTGCTCAAACAAATTAACTGAGAGCCCACACATTTTTATTCACACTCCTGAACATTTGTGCCATAGTTATGACTTTTCCAGAATACTTGTTTAAAAGGATTACCTTATTAGCTTTCCTTTAGTCGATCAGTAGTAGTTTGAAGACCGAGTTATAATAATTTCGTAACTTATACATGCCACACCACACATACAGGAAGTAGGAAGTAAAGGATTGTAAGGTTTCTGGGGGAAAGGGGTAAGCTCTTTCTTCAACAGGATCTGTAGCAGTAGATAGGAGAGTCTTCATTTTAGGTACACGCTATGCTTCTGAACTTGGCTCTTTATCACCAAAGTCCCTTCGAGAGGTTACAGTGACTGGATAATTACATTAAATAGATCATAAGGAGTAATCATTTTTATTTTAAACTACTAAATACACTACCAATTAAGCAAGAGATGAGCACTTTGGAAGGCTGAGTGTCTGGAAAACTATTTTCTGCAAGGAAAACATTTTTGTGTGTGTATCTTTTCTCATGAATCTCAAATCGGTTAGCTGTTGATAAAGAAGGTAGTAGCTAATCCCTAGGAAACTGGATTGAGTAATTTCCTAGCAATCACCAGAAGAAAAGAACATGTAAACACAGAATCTTTTTGGTAAACAATATTTTAGGAAATTCAAAGGGCCATAATTTCCACCACGAAGACTGCCACATGACCTCAACACCCAGTGTCAGAACGGCCAGATTCAAGCAGCACTTCAGAGATGGGGTTGAGATGGCTAAAAATGCTGATCTGGGCTGGGAGTGCAATCACAGTGTTTATTGATTTTTGTGCTTCTGTTGCACCAGGCAACAAGAGCGTTCCCAGGAACCGCAGGCTTTCCCCTCCCATCTCTGGTAAGGAAAAACTACCTGGCGACAGGATGGCCACATCCTGCAGAGTGTGTGTGTGTGTGTGCCTCTGAATAGATAGACGGCCCAAGCGGGGTCTGCCCCCGAGAAGCATGCACAAGTGACAAGACCCGGCCACGTCCCTGGACGGCACTGGGGTGGGCAGGCCCCGGGGAACAATCTGGTGTGAGGAGGAAGGACAGGGCAACATTGGCTTAGAGAATTGAGAGAACTAAAACACAGTCACAGCGGCAGGCAGCAGCGTTAGACCATGAAGCGGTGCTCCTTCCCGTCATGAGCCATGAGGATGACGTTGCGATTCGAAGTCCAGATGAGCCGGGCCAGCTTGAGGGCATTGTGGGAGCCGGGGGACGCGGGCTGCACAGGGGGCACCTGGTAGGTTTTAATGCAGCGCAGCTGAGGTGCCGAGTTCAGCATGCCAATGCTTCCCAGCAGTGACGTGTTCATCTAGAGGGACAGGAGAGCACATGTGTCACTTGAAGAGCCCTCTCCGTTTCCCTATCACAGAGAGCGGGTCGATCTCTTCTTGCCACTTTCTCCTCCATCATGGCTATTCTCCTTCACCTGAGCTTGTTCTTAACCTCTCAAAGGTTCCTTGTGGTATGCCTGGAAGGATTCTGATGCTGTTACAGTAAATGCAGAAATCTAGAGGAATTTTATGGCGGCAGAATCTGACAACGGGAGAGTCCATGGAGGTTTAGGAAGAGAGCTAAATTATAGCTCTCAATAAAATGGTTCATTTAGACAACACAGGTATTTGGAAATTGTGGGTATTTAAAACTGCAGACCTTTATGTTCTTTACAACAATGCTAACTGCATTCCCTGAAGGAGTCAACGAAGACCAAACTTTGGGATTTGTAATTAGTTCAAGAAAACGAAGCAAAGTTAAGCAGTAGATAGAGTGACAGTTTACTGGATCAAACAAAGCTCAAAACTCCTCCCACCCCCATTTCCCACCTACTAATACCTTCACTCCTCACTTGCTTTTTAAAAACTTGCTCTCTGGAAAGCTCTGGCTTATTATAAAGTGCAGAACAAGAATCAATTTCATCTCAACACTATGTCTGTGCCTCACTGTTTTGCTATCATACGAAGGAGAGTCGCTCTTAATAGTTTATTGACAATAGCTTTTTATCAATTGATGATTTCTGCTTTTTGGCAGTTTTTCTGGATTTGATTTAAATTTTAGGTTTTCTTAATCCATTCATATAAACGGAAAATAACATGGAAATTATGAATCATGAACAACAATGTATTCAGATTGAAGTACTAAATATTGAATGGCAGTTGCCTAAGTGAACTGTTTCCTAAGCAACTGAGTCTGAAGATTTCTGTAGATTCTAAATATCACTTAAAATGTTTTTAATAGCATCATTTGTGCTATTATAAAAATCACATGGAAAGAATACCGAGAATCAGGAAAGAAGCCTCAGAAATAATATTTTTTCTTTGCATTAATTTTCATTTCCAATGCCTCTCTCCAGTATAATGTCCACCTCAATGTGTAAGATTCTAGAGATTTGCATGAAGCATGCAGATTATGATCCAACATCTACAAATGGTTGATCCATGGAACCCTGGCAAATCCTAGGACATTTAAGATGTGTTATCACTGGTATCATCCCCTGCATGTGGATCAGTGCAAAACACAAGCCATTCCTTTTTCTAGCCCTTCTCAGCAGCAGGATGGTGTCAGAGGGTGTAAATCATGGCATCTCTAGCTGAGTGCGTGCAGGCTCCACTGACATTTTCACAATTTAAATCATCTTGAGTAATAACCCTTTTAAGATGACTAATGTTACTGATTTTCCTGCATTAATAATAGTGCCGAACACAACACAGAGGTGAAAAAAATCACTAGTGTACGAGGTCACATTTTAAAACCAAATGTATGGTTATTGTTAACTCTTTCTGCTAAAGTTCGGTTCCCGTTTTCAGCCAGGCGGTTCCTTACTGTCACCCTTTTAGAAGCTTGTTTCTCTGCTTCCCTCTCTCCTTTTTCCCAAAACTTCACAAAAGATAAAAATCAAGGCTGTATTGCTTTCTTGGGTGCTTCCAGATAGTTAAAATACAAATAATGACGGTGAGCTTGCTTTGATAGTTTTCACTTACACAAAAAGCAACAGCACACAGTAATTTAGTCTTCTCAAAGAAAAGATCCGAATGATCCAGAAGATTGCTGGTTAACATTAACTGGCATCAACAGGCATCGTGTTTTAGAAAAAAATCTAATTTCTCAGTTGATAAATAACTACAAGGTATTTTTCATTCTTTATAGATTTTCTATGAATATATGTGCAAAGCTTGACTTCTGCTGGTAACTCAAAATGCAAGGGGCATACAATGCTCAGACACTTCCTTATTTTTAATTCCTCTCTTCAAATTTAGCCACAAACAAAAAATGAGTTAAGAGCTAAACATGAAAAGGGAGAGAATATCTCATGGGAATGCTATAAAGATTTTAGAAAAGGCCAGTACAACTGCATTCCTCTTACAACTGAGCCGTCCCTACTTTGAAAAATGCCTTTGGTTGGGTCAGATAGCCTTCCTGCCTCAGAAGAGCGATATGTGAAATAAGGGACACAACTATTATAGGTGCACACAGTTGAAATCGTAAAGACCCCCATGTTCGCTAAAATTCAATGCTCATGATCATCCTTTCCCTGTGACCTCTTCAAATTCGGCATGAATCTTAAGCTTTATAGTAAGTGTATTAATTTTTCCAATAAATCAGGCAAATAACTCTCTTTGAAACAACTATTTTGTTATTCAATATTAATGCTTTTTGGCCAGCAAATGGCTACAAATGATGCTCAAGTGAGGACATCCTGAGTCTTGAATGAATGCAACCTATGTGGAATTATGAGATTTGGTAACATTCACTTTTTCTTGATTACAAAGATAGCAACTACTCACTGTGGAAAATTCAAATAATAAAAGTACAAAAAAAGAAGGCAAAAATCCCCTGAAATCTCATTTCCCAAAGATAGTCACTATTAAACTTTTGGTAAACAACCTTCCAGACCTCCACATATACATAAAGATGAAGAGGAGTAGATTTAAAAATTTTATATAAACAAGCTTATATTAAAATGTAGTTTCATAATTTGCTTTTTGTGTTCAATAAAATGTTGAGGGCAATTTTCTCTTGTTAATGACTACAGATTTACATTATTCCTTTTAAATGGCTGAATAGTTATCTACTATATAATGAAGTAAATAAAAACAAATGAAAACCGTATCTACCTAATTTATTATTAGTATTTCTGAAAGAGGATAGTTGTTGGATGGTGGTGGTAAGATTTAGGTGAGAGAATTGTGACTGTATTTCATTACCAAACTTCTCCTCTTGATCAAATACCAATGGATACAGAGAAGTGAAATATTCACATTGTAGAAACATGGGGTTAGAAAATCAAAGGACTTGATTGCCAAATTACATCATTCGTAGATGAGAATGTCGTTTCACTCAAATGCAACTTTGGCTTTTTTCTCTCCTTCAAAAACAAATGCTTCACAAAACTGGTTCTGTGAAGATTGTTTTATGAACACACAACACACACAGATATAATTCATCACAACAGGAAATGTTTTAATGCTATTCTCAATGTAAGTAATGCTGCACACAGATCTTACTAAGTCACTTGAGTAATTATCCAACCAATATTTCTCATTAACACTCATTTCTCAGCAAAGATTTTAATAGCTGATAGCTTTAGTAAGGTTCTGTATTAGTAAGACTTCATTAAGTTTTCAAAATATATTATAGTACATTTACTGGAATAACATAAAAGTACTCTCCTACATCATTACAAGAAAACAATATGTATCTAAATAAATCAGCAAAGCCCATTTGGGGAAAGCAGCAGTAGATCTAATACTGTTTTTGGACTCTCTTTAATTCAAATAAGACAATGACACTTCTGGAAGAGATTTCATCGTATTTTCCTGAGAAAGTTGAAATAACCTGTTTTTATATCTTTCCTTAAAATTTCAAGACTGAGTTGGGTATAACCTAAACATTAAGAAATGGGCTGCATTTTAAATTCTGCCATTGGTTTTAGAGGCAAAAATGACCTGGGTGCTGCCTGGGCTGCTTTGACTCTGGCATGTGCAGATAATATGAAGCAGCCTTTGGAATAGGTGAGCTTATGGACTAAGAAATGTGCTGCAGCCCCACTGAGTGCAAAGCCACATGTCCAGGCACACATGTTATAGCCTAAGGAATGTGCTACAGCCCCACTGTGTGCAAAGCCACGCATCCAGGCACACAGATGTGAGTGTGCTTGGCAAAGCCCAGGGTCAACAGCAGAAGCCTTCAGAGAGGGGCTGGAAGACGAAAAGATGTTATCTCAAAAGGAAGCAGCCGTCTATTAAATGAGCTTGGTCTCTAGGTGAAAAGCATGTGACCCATAATCCCATTAATGACCTGGACAGTAATTTTGATATAAATAGAAAAATATTCAAGGAAGGGATGAGCATATCCAAATAAAACCTTGAAGATCTAAGGGGAAAAAGATAATTTACCATTTAGAAAATTCCATTTAAAATATTCCAGAAAATACTGGAGAAAGTTTCAAATCTGGCTACTATCTGAGGTATTCCTTATATAATAAATTGTTTTCTTAGCAGAAAGAAAGCTGGAAAAGAGAGATGTTTTGTTTGTTTATTCCAAAGAAGAAACCCTTGAGAAACACAGGTGCAGCAAACAGGACCCATGACTTACTGATCTCTGCGTCTCTAATGCACAGGCCAGTACCCACCACTCGGTTACAATAAATGTGGAATGAGTGGAGCTTTATATAAATATTCCTCTGAGATCCCAAGAGAACAGGAAAAAAAAGAAAATTTTTATCAAAGTACAGCTGACATAACAGAGGCCATGGAGTTAGACGTGAGTGGAGTGCGGGGGTGGGGGGTGAACAACAATCAGTAGGTAAACTCCTTAAAGAACCGCTGCTGCAGAAGCCCAGTTTATGGACACCTAACAGAATCACTGTGGAATTTCAGGAGTGGTAAACACCAGTGCTGTGGTTACTCACGAAGAAAATGAGGGCTGGGTGTGATCTCTGATAAAGAGCTTAATATGAGTGAATTAAGATGCTGGAGATATATTCTGGAGGAAAGGCTAATGAGAAAATAAACTGGAAAACTAAATTAGATAAAAGAAGAAGTCTGTGACAGAGTTTGAAGTTGTCATGCTTTAATAGCATGTTGTTAATTAAGTAATTTATTGTATCCGTTTTACATTTTATTACCTATTGATTTTTTTCAACTATCACCCAAATGTGCTGAAGCCTTGTTTAAACTTTTGTTTTGTTTTATCTTTCAAAGCAATCAACTGAATCTCATAAAACATAATGGCATCCCAAGAAAATAAAGTAACAACAAAATTTTAAATTAACTTTTTTGGGGGTGTTGGTAATGTTTAACTTTTTGATAATTATCAGGACTAAAAGAATAAAGTAATTAAAAAGAAGATGGGATAGCAATTAAGCAGTGAGGATAAAACACATTCTATTGCCAAAACTAGTGGCTCAAAATTAATATTCATTTTATTCAGAATTAAACATAGGCATTCTCATGAACTGCTTACCAACGACGATTTGAGTTCTTACGAAATGTTTTGAATAGTTTGAGAATTATGAGTATTATGTGAGAAATTCAGAATGCAAAGGAAAATGAGATAATCACAAAAGGGACAAGAGGTGTACACGAGGAAAACACCTTATTGCCCTATGCCCTACACAATGCTAGAGTCACAGACCCAGGGACCTTGTGTGAAGGCCTCGTGTAAATGAATGGCTGGAGACAGTGAGGCTTCTGCCGGATTCCTCTTGGGCCAGGCCCTCAATCACGTCCGCCCTTGCTCACGGCTACTCGTGCATCTGCACCCTCTTCTTAACCATCCACGCCTCCTGACGCACTGTGAACATCCAGCTCTTCCTATACATCACTCAAGCCTCAGCTTAGGTGTCACTTCCTCCGGAAAGTCTTCCTACAAACTTACTGTCAGGCTCCCCTTGCACCATAATTGCTTATTTATGTATGTCTACTCCAGACTGCAAGCTCCATGAGGGCAGAAGCCCCTCTTCCCAGACTGCTAATTGTATTCTCAGCACCCTGAATGCTAGTGCCTGGCATATCATCAGCAATCAATACAGACTGGATGTCTGCTGAAAAGAGGGAGGGAGGGCAGGAAGGAGGGCCAGCAGGTAGGCTCAGCAGGAAGGCTTACTACCAAAGGCATATCATGCAGTATACACTTTAAGACCCTGGAGCAGCTACCCTTACCTGCCAAAAAGAAATGTGGCTGTCGGTGTTTGAGTAGGTGGCGAGATATCGTCCATCAGGAGCAAAAGCCACTGCAGTGATTGGTCCCTTGTGTCCATGGATTGTCTAAAATAAAATTCAGACATCATTAATGGTAAGCATTCCGCAGGACAATTACAAATACACACACAAATGCATTCAATGTTGAATAAGTTGCATCTGGGGTATCAGATGCTGTTATCTTCTTTGTTTATAAAATTCAGCTTAGAAAAATAAGCAAAGCAACCGACGTTCTCTTGTTGAGGGAACTCTCCAAGGACTCCAGTCTTATTCTGAGGTGTCCACCTATCTCCTAGTTGGAAGGGCAGCATGAGCTCAATGAAAAAGCATATATTAATGGGCAAACCGATGTGCTAATTCATTTATGTCCATCACAGGGGAGAATTTTACAGTTAAAAAGTTAAGAAACGGATACCAAAAGTATCCAGGAACCTTGCTCATCTGAAATAAAAAACAACCAAAGCTGTATTATAAAAATCCTTGTTGTGGAAGGAGTTAAAGACTATAATTCCATCTTCTTAATAATCATGCTTTATGCCTCATTTTCCACCAATAACATTGTGTTTAAACGCATATAGCTGCAATTAGTAAATATACATCCACACCCATGTGGGAGGTTTGGGCACACATATAAATCAAATACCATTAAAAACAAGTTAACAGGGATAGTTTTGAACTTCTGCCAAATAGCTATCATTGATTTAACCGTGAATAATAAAAAGGAAGTTGTATTTTAGACTAGGTCTTTGAGAAAAGGTCCTCTCTAATAAAAACAATACTCAAGCCTGATGATATTAATAATTACAGAAGAGACAGGATACTAAGCAAATTAGCATAATATTGTATTAATCTCCCTGCACTCAACTATTAAAAACCATCCCTCTGCCACATTAACCAATATTCAATCTGGCTTACAAGCTGTAGGTCTGTCTCCTTCCTTTGTCTAGAAAGGAATCAGAAATGTGTGCCCTTAAAGACAATTCAGGACAGGTTGGCTTCTGGCTGTCATTTTTGATAAGGAATTGTGAACCCTGAATCTCAGAGGGAGCATCAGGCTTGTTATGTGATTCGGCTCATATATACTGTACATTTCGGACAACTTTTTTCATAATACATATTTGAATGCCTAAGATGAGGAAGAAGACAGAAAACAGATCTAGGGACATAAGCACATTCCTCACTGCCTTTGCATTCTGTCCTGTCTTATTATTAGCCTGCCAAGGGACTGTGGTGTCCCAAATAACATTTGTTTTCTAACACTCAGAAAAGAGTTACATTGGTACGGAACTGGGCTTTGAGCAGGGAGAGAGCACTGATGTGAGCCAGACTTCCTGGGTCTGCATGTGAGCTCCCCTAGGTACTAACTGTGGAACCTAAGGCCACGGGATTTAAGGCACTTAACACCTCAGAGTACTCATGTTTCTAAAGTAGGAACAATGATGATGATAATGTCTAGCTCAAAGAGCTTTGCAAAGCTTAAATGAGGTAATACATAGCGTTCTGCACAATGCATGGCACATAATAATTCAATACTTTTAATGTTTTTCTTACTCCTGTTTTAGAGATGACCAGACACATATAAACAGTCATATAACTCAACCACTTGAGTATATCATTCAATGAACCCCTCTCCAAAACGACGCCTTAATCACATATCTCAGCATCAACATCACATAGTATAGCAGGTTGCCTACAAACATGGGCTTCAGACTGTGGCATGTGATTAAACAGATGTGATTACTCATGATGCTGGCCCATAAATACACTAATTTAAGAAATGGATTGCACTTGTTGAATAATTATCACAAGAAACCAGCTTAACATCAACTATTCTGGAATGAGAATTATTCAGGCAGGAAAAAAGCTTTTAACCAATTAAATCGGAAAAACTGGTCATTCCCACTTACTAGGTCAGTTTAATGAGCTTGTTGGGAAAGCATTTTTAAAATCGAGGTTCAGTTCTGCTAAAAGTCTGGAATTCTGCTGGGCCAATCTGAAGCCATTTTATGGCTAATATACTAGAACAGTAAGGCCCTGACTTATAACAGAGGTTGCAAACTCAAAACCCTTAAGCCGAAATCAGATCATAAATGTGTTTGGTTTGGCCTGCAAAAATGCAAAAAACAAATTTTTTTTGAGCCCATATTTCTAATTCATCAGAACTTATGTAAAATCAAGACTTCCAGCCTCTCCTGAAAAAACTGGAGGATGGGGCAATAGTGGGCTTTTGTTCACACGTGGCAGCATCAGCCAGGGCGAGTCGCGGTGAGCACTTCAGCCTGGGCACGAGCTCCTCCCTTCACCAGTCCAGGACTGACACAAAAGACGACTGTGTACCAGGCTGCCCAGCTCACTTATTTCCTGCCTGGTCCCTCCTGGCATTGAGTGCAACCTTTCTATTACAAATATTTGATTCAAAATCCAAAGCTTCTTCCATGCTCTGGGATCCTAATATCCTCTAAATCTGTGAGTAGACTAAAAGTTCTTCTAAGAAAAACTGACCCTTCTTGAAAGCCCCCAAAACCCAACTCTAGGTATAAGTGGATTGATCCTCCTCCTGGATATTGGGCCCCTCAATTTCAAAACAGAATGCCAAGCCTGCCTCCTTCAGCTTAGCATCCTTCCTTAATCAGCAACCAGAAGATTGCTTCAGTAATTTAGAGAACACAGCAGTGAGCAGGGTATAGCAAGCAGGTCCAAAGGATGTTACAACCCAATGGACACATTCATAGCCCTTTCTTTGAGGCTAGGAAGTTAGCCTTTTGTAAAAGTAACAAAACAGACTCACTGGGACCATATTTGCTTCTTCAGAACAGTCTTCTCTAAATATTTCATTTTTTTGTCTTCATTTGGCTAGTATTTAAAACATCATGTGAAGAGTATGTCTATGTCAGCTGAAGACACTGTTCATTGAAATGTCTCTCACAGAAGATCTTGGGAAGTAAGTTCAGACTGTTATTTTCTGTTGGGAAAACGTTTGTTTTTCCAGATGAATATGTTTTCTTTTATCATGTAACAATAATTACATAACCTAACACTGGCTTGCTTTACTGCCAGGAAGCTCAGTACTAAATTTATGCTCAGTCTATACATCGAGTAATAAATGCTTCCTCCTTCTAACTTTATTCCTCATTGTTCTGTTTTCATTTGTTGTTGAAGTCCTGTCATATACGGAGTTCAACTTTCTTTAAAGTCTTCTTTCGACAAAAGGGGACTACATCTTGGATCAGATCACACACACATACACACACACACACACACACACACCCACACCCCCACACACACACACCCCATAATGCTTTGGACAAAGGGAGACTCCATCTTGGATCAGAACATATCACACACACACACACACACACACACACACACACACACACACACACCATGATGCTGCTAGGTACCCCATGGGGCTACCTTTTTAAAGCAACCTAAAGAAAAACCACAGAGTGCTGACTGCAGCTGACAGACAGACCTGCTCTCTCGTAAGAGCAAGTACCGATCCAACAGTGCAGGGAAATTTGCTGTTGTAAATGGCTTGGTACATCTGGTGAGTTCATTACAATCTCAGCCTGAGAGGTGCTTCAGCCCTCACTGTAATGGAAATGTTGCCATTGTCTTCCGTTCAGACTCTCTGAACTTGTAAGACCCGTGCAGGCACCTCCTGAACTGATTTTAACCTCTACTCTAGCATTAGAGATGCAACTGTGTGGACCACAGAAAACAACTTGTAAGTCCTTTGTGATGGAGCGGATTGGATGGTTTGGGTCTCAAATGCTGGACCCTGAAGAAGATTTTCCAAAACCAGCAGGTTTCAACGTAAAAAGAGGTTTGGTAGACTTTTTATAAGCAAATGAGTATCATGCCTTGTTATGTTTTTAGTCAAATAAATTGCTGTCTTGAAAAGACAGAAAAGAAATATAAAGAAATTAATCAAATTCAGGAAGTGCTATGAACAATTACAAAAATTCAAGCAATTATCCCTAGCAGGAGATAGAGTGTTGAACTGTTAAACACCCCCACCTCGTCTTCTCATTAAAGAAAAGGTACTGATAAGTAGAATAATGAACAATACTTAATGTGCCCAACAGTTTTAAACATACATGTTCAATGCGTCTGCAAAGAAATATTAACCCAGTTATACAGAGAAGGAAACAGAAATGAGAATTTCTAAAATGATATGGTCAGCATCAACAGAAGCCATGACTTTCTAGAATATTCTCTTTAAAACTGCTCTTCACATGGTCTGTCAGCTTCCAAATGACAAGTTCGGGACTTGAAACCAACCCACTTTGAGGCTGAATAAAATTAAAGAGAACATCTTATATTTATTTGCAGGTCTCATTTTTTCTTTAAAGAGGAACACAAAATCCTACCTAAACAAACCATTTTCTTAACTTTAACACAAATTATGAAAACAAGATTTCCAAAAGTAGGTAAAATTCCCCTATCATACATACATACATCATGCACAGGGAAAAGATTTGTCCCATGTATTTTATATAACATTTACTAACAAACTGCAAAAATGCCGGAACGTGAACTAAACCTTGACAGCCCCCAAGGTCTTGGGGGCCGAGAGGGAAGTAGCTGACATGGTTGTGGGCTTCTTGGGAAGCAGTGTGGCTGACTTTAGATTAAGTCAGGCAGCTGCAATTTGAGGGGTGCTTGAAAGGTCTGCTGAGCCCAAAGATGTCCTCCCCAGTTGGCTGCACATGGCCTCTGAAATCTTGAAAAACACAATCATGCCTTCACCCGAAGCATTTTCCCTAGAATGTGCTCTGGCAGAGGGCAAATGGGACAGGCTTGTTTTCATGGCAGATGCCCTGACTTCGGGGTGAGCCTGAATGAAGTGTCTGTGTGTGTATGGAGGCAGGAAACAGGTGAGACAGGTCAGAAATTCAGGCAGTCAGTGCCTCAGAAGTGAGGAAGAACTCTGAAAAGGAGAGGCAACACCAAAGACCTGCAAATACCCACATCTTCCCAGTGAGGCTCCCACTCAATGATACTTGACAATGCCAAGTGAAGTGCAGCGTGTGTTTGTAGCACTGATTGTACGTTTGGTATCT